CCCCCAACCCCCGGCTCACCCTTCCATGCGGCCTCGGCCGTGGGCCTTCGCCTCTCCCCCTCTTGTTGCCCGCGCGACGCGCGTGCCCGCCCGCGCCCAGACGCCTCGCGCTCGCAGCAGCTGCTGAGCCAGAAGAACGCGGCCGTCGACGCGCTGCCGGCGCCCGCGCTGGCGCCGGCGACGATCGAGGGCAAGGCGGCGAGCGATGCGCTGATCCAGGTGAGTGGGCAGGCAGGATGGGGGGCGAGCACTTGCGGTGGGCGCATGAGATGGGACGAAAGGCTAGCAGCTTGCAGCGATACTGCCCCCCCCCCCCCCCCCCCGGGGGGGCCAGGCGCTGTCGTCGCGACGGGCCAGCATGGCCTGGCGAAGCAGCCACGGCGGCGCATCTCTCCTATCGCCGTGCGCCTGTGTGCCATGGTGCTTACTCGCTTGTCGCTAGCTCGTGCACTGCGCCGAGGCAGACCCCAACTTCCTCCTCCTCTGCGCCCGCTCCGCCGACGAGCTCGCGGCGCAGGCCGGCGGCCTGCAAGGTGCCTTTGTCAAGGGCCGGTGAGTTTGAGTTTTTGCGTCGTGGCTGTCGCCCGAAGCGTTGCGCTAGATGTCTTCCAGACGCTGATGCTGGGCACTTGGTGCTCTCTCACCTCCAGTGACGAGGCACTGCAGCGCTACCGCGCCGAGGCCGCCGCAAACGCCGACACGGTGAATCCGCGCGAGGCGTCGCAGAACAGCAAGCTGCTTGCCTTTTACGACGACAAGATTGCCGCACAGGCTCCTCTCGTGGGCGCCTACCTGCAGCACGACGCCGGCGCCATTGCCGGCTTTGTCGAGGCGTCGCGCAAGGCGTGGAAGGCCCTGCCGAGCACGCTGGCGAAGCTCGAGACGCAGCTGCAGGGCACGTATGCCCTCGGCGATCAGTTCTCCCTCGCCGATGTGCATCTCATGGCCTGGCTCGCGCGCCTGCTGGCCGTCGTCAAGGGCCTGCCCGGCGCGCCCGACGACGAGCTCGAGGCGCTCGATGCGGCGCTCAAGCACGAGGTGTGCGGCGGCACCGCTGTTGGTCCCAAGGTGAGGCCGCAGAAGGCTGCCCCGCTCGCTGCGGTGGCACACCATGCTGACCTGCTCTCGCCGAACAAGCTCTCGGCCTACTGGAAGACGCTCAAGACGCGCCCGTCGTACGCGGCCGTGTACGGCGAGGGCCTGCACTAGAGCGCCCCGGCGCGACGCCATGGGTCGGCGCTCTCTCTCGTGGGTTCGTGATGAAGGGGATGTGAGGTCTGAGCGCGAAGTACACGAAAAATCAAAAACGCGATCGAATAGCTGAGCGAGTGTGACGTGTGAGTACAGGGAGCAAAGGAGTGGGAAAGGAGGGGAAGGAGGGAGCGCGATATGTCGCGACGGCGGAGAGAGGCGGAGAGTGTCGGAGCGAGAGAGATGGGCCATGTCGGAGGCGAGAGAAAGGGAGCAAGAGAGGCCGGAGCGTCCGAGCTGAGAGAGTCGGAGCCAGCTCGTCGCAGCACGAGAGGCGCAGCCAACGAGAGACGCAGCCAGACAGGGCGCAGCGAGAGGCTCGCAGCGAAGTGCTCGTAGCGAAAGAGCTGGGCGGCTGAGTCGAGAGCGTCGTAGCGTCGAGTCAAGAAAGGCGGAGCAAGGGAGGCGGAGCGTCGAGTAAAAGCAAGAGAGCTGGAGGCAGATCGTTGCAGCAAGAGAGACGGAGCCAGACAGGCGCAGCGGGAGGATCAGAGCGAAGTCTCGTGGCGCGAGAGTCGGACGTCGAGTTGAGAGCGCCATGGCCTCGCCTCGAGGAGCTTGTAGCGCCTAGGCTTCCTGCTTGACGTGCAGGGCACGGTTGACACGCAGAGTCCTTGTGCTGGCCTGCGGGCCGCTGCCGCTGGAGGGGAACACGTCAGGGCGCGGACGCTGCTGCTGGCCATAGCGCCGTCCTATGCGCTTTGTGTCTCCGTTGTTGGCAATGGCCCAGTCAATAGACACGTGAAAGGCATCTGGCTGGTCACGAGAGTCGTAGAGAGAGAGAGCCGTGGGCCACTGCTCGTGCACAAGCTGTCGGCTCGGCTTTGAGATTGGCATGTGGGGCCGCTCACTGAGCATGGTGCGCAGAATGGGCACGTCCCACTGCACACGCTCCGACGAGACTGACGTGAACGGGAAAATGTCGTTGAGCTGCCCAATGAGCGGCCGCCAGAACCACTGATTGAGCATGGCGGCGGCACGGGCAATGCAGTCGTCCTGCAGCTGCGACGGCGTGACAAGGCGCCCGCTGAACATGGCCGGCAGAAGATGGCCGTCGCCGTCGCCGGCGCTGGAGAGAAAGTTCCGCGTGAACGTGCGCCCGCAGAGGATCAGCGGCACGGCTGCAGCCAGCGAGCCGGCGTGCACGAGGATCTGGGCAAACGTGCTGGCCGCTCGCATCTTTGTGCTGTACCTGCGGCTGCAGCGGTCTCGTTCGTGTGCGGGTACGCTTGCCCTGTCCATCAGCTCGGTGATGAACTGCGTTGCCGTCTGCTTGCGGTGATGACGCTCCACAAGCTGCCCGATATCAGCTAGATACTGAATCAGTGCGTCAAGCGGATCGACGTCGATGGTTGCCTTGATGTCGCGCACAAAGGCATAGTCTCGCGCCTGCGAGCTTGGCGCAGAAGCAACGCCGGATACGCGGGCAATCAGCTTGTTGATGAACTCCTGACACAAGTCGAAGGCGTATGACTCGCAGCCTGGCGCCACCGAGAAGGCGGCATGCCCGAAAGGGCGCGACAGAGCAAGAGCGGCTTCGACATATCGGCTCAGCGCACGCAGGTGCAGGTGATGCGTCTCGGCGCCATTCTGCTCTGTTGCCTCGCTCAGCAGTGACTTTGCTGCTGGAGCTGGGCCATGACTACTGCCTCGAGCAGGCCCAGCATTGCCTGCGCCTGCGTTGATGCAGAGACTGTCCTCGCTGCTGCCACGAGCAAGCCCTGCATCGCTGGCCGCGGCGTCGAGAAAGAGAGTCTCCTCGTTCTCGTTGTACAGCTCGTAATCGAGCAGCTCATCCTCCTCGTTGTCCTCCTCCTCGTCGCCAGCGCTCGATCGGGCACGCTCGTCGAGCTCGAGGCTCTTGCCAGCTGCGGCATGCTCTCCTTCCTCCGCGGCATCGACCTCGGCACTTGCGCCAGTCGCCGAAAGGCGCGCGCGCTTGCTGGGAGGCTCGACGCGCTCGCTGTCGGCGCCATCCGTCGTCGAAAGGCGCGCACGCTCGTTGAGAGGCTCGGCGCGCTCGCTGTCGGTGTCATCCGTGCTCGAAGGGCGCACACGCTCGCTGGGAGGCTCAGCGTGCTCGCTGTTGGCGTGATCCGTAGTCGAAGGGCGCGCACGCTCGCTGGGAGGCTCAGCGCGCTCGATGTCGGCGTCATCCGCTGGCGGATCGGGCATGGCGCGAGAAGCCATGTTGACGAACACGACGTCGTTTTCCGCGCTCTCATCGTCGCTGCCGAACTGTCCACAGTACGCTTGACCTGTGTAGAGCTGGAACTGCGCAAAGTCGAGGGCGCCGACGATGAGGCTGATCAGGCCGATGGCGCGCAGCTGATCGAGAGGCAGCACGTCCCGGTCGTACTGCTCTGCTGCCTCGGAGAGATCAATGACCAGTTGCATGTCGGCGCTGCGCCTGGCGCCGCACTGCGCGACAGCCCATAGAGCGATGCTGCCGCTGCGAGCTCTGCGATATGCATCTGTCGTGCAGAGAGCGAGGAGCTGTGCGGCCCGGCGCTGGCTGGTGACCCGAGCCATGGGGCGTACGCTGAAATACGTGCGCAAGGGAATGTGGTGGTGATGAGCCTGTCCAGCGCTTCTGGTCTGTGTCTATCAAGTAGTACTGACAGGACGGAAATTTGAAGTACGCGGCTTCAGGGGCGACGCCTTGCGGCCTGGCCGATGTAAGTGAGCACCCATTTGCGCCGACGCGCGCGCGTCGCGCCAGCGAAGCAGATGAAGACGCGCACGGCGCGACTCGCCGTCCGCATGCTCTCGTGTGAGTCTGGAGCCCGGCAGAGCGGAACAGGGGCACGGCGCGCAAGATCCCCTGACATCGCGGCGCCTTGAGTGCTCCATTTCGATCTCCGGCGCACCCGCGACGCGGGTCGACATCAGCAGAGCATCAGCAGAGCCGTTAGCAGAAGCATAGCGAGGCAGATGAACGTCGTCCGCGGCGCACACGGCACAGAAGGGTGGCTCCAGTGCGACAGACGGGAACTGGGAAGCGCGGTGCTGCGACGACACACGCGCCAGCTCATCAACCTCATCGCGACACAGGACATGCACAGCCAAGCAGCCCGCGGCGCCGCAGATACGGCTCATGGACCTGCAGTCGCCAGTCAAGTGGCACGCATAGGCAGCGAAGGAATGGACTCAGGACGGAACGGCTCTATGTCGCGCGACAGAGAGACAGGAACGTCGGAAGCAGCTGGAGCGAGAAGGACCGCCGGAGCGAAAGAGGCGTGAACGTCGGAAGCAAGTTACAGCTGGAGTGCGCAAGCCGGAGCGAGCAAGTCGGCACGAGAGGGGCCGGGGAGTGTAGCGTGCAAGGAGAACGGCAGGGCGAGAGAGCAGGAGTGGTGCAGCGAGAGGTGAGGAGCGGCGACTGGCCAGCCGAGAGAGAGGCTCGCTTGGGAGGCGGTTGCACTTGAGGGAGCCGTTGGAGTGGAGGCTGTTCGAGAGTTCGTCCCAGAAAGCGCCTTGTTCGAGAGGTGATCGCACCAGTTCGGAATGCACGAATGTTGGTCGATCAAGAGGAGCTCGCGTCCGAGTGGACACTGTCTGGGAGAAGAACAGAAGTATCGCGAGGAGGCACCTCCTCTCGTCGAGCGAGACGGCCGCAGGCGCGGCGCGGGTCGGAGCTTGCACTAAGAGACATGTGACGAGCTTCGGCAAAAGAGGAGCTGCGACTCCTTTGCTCGCTGCGGCTCCTCTGCTCGCTACGGCTGCTCTGCTCGCTGTACGGTCCGCGCTCTGCGCAGAGCGAGAGAGACTTCAACGTCGGAGGCGAGCGAGAAGTTGAGCCAGAGAGCCGGAGAGAGCGAGTCAGAGAGAGTCTCGGCGTGAGCGAGTGAGATCGAAGGAGTTGAAGCGAGAGAGGCGGCGTGAAAGAGTCGACACGAGAGAGTCGACGTGAGAGAGTCGGCATGAGAGAGTCGGCGTGAGGCGAACAAGGAGGAGCGGCATGGAGTCGAAGTGGGCAGGACCGCAGAGTACGGCCTACGCCTCCAGCTTGACCTGTCCACGGGTGACGTGCAGCGTCCACGTCGTGCTCGGCGGTATACCCACGCCGGTGTATCGTGCCAGACTCGTGCGCTTCGGACGATCCGGACGCTCTGGGGTCCCGTCGTACTGCTTGTCGAGCCGTGCTGCGTCGCGCTCGTCGGCATAGCGGCTCCAGTCGCCCTGAAAGTTGACGGCCGCAGCAAGCCTGTCGTAAGAAGCAAGAAGCGTTGGACGTCGCCGCTGCTCTGCTGCTGCAGCGGAGGAGTCTACCAGCGGCATTTTCTTGCTGGAGATGAGACTCTTCAGCGTAGAGAGGTCCCACTCGGAGTCGCTGCTGCGCGCAACACACACCCTGGTGAACGGGAAATGCGCGTGCAGACTGGCAATGAGCGGCTTCCAGAACGCAGCGCTCATCTGCAGTGCCAGAGGCAGTAGCTGGTTGTTGGAGAGACAGGTCGAGGCGCTGAACGACGCCACGTCGCCGCCAAAGAGGCCCGGCATGAGCTTTGCTGCGTCGCCATTGCTGATGTAGTGCCGTGAGAAGGTGCAGCCGCAGAGCACAATGGGCACTGCCACTGCAAGCGTGCCCGCCTGCACCATGACCTGAGCAAGCACGCTTGCTGCGCGCAGCTTCCAGCGGAGGCGTTGCCGGCACTGCTTCTGCTTCTCTGCTGGGAAATTTGCGCGCTGCACGATGCCATCAAGGAAAGCGCGGTTGCTCTTGCTGCTGGCAGCGCGCTTGACGAGGATGCCGATGTCGGCAAAGTACTGCATGAGCGCGTCCATGGGCCTGTTGCCGAGATCCGTTACATCGATGGCGTCACGGAGCAAGGCGTCATCTTGGGCCTGCGCGCTGGGACGGCTTGCGGACGCGCTGTCCTGCTGCTGCTTGACGAGCGCAGTGATGAAGCGCATGCAGAGGTCGAATGCATACGCTCTGCTCGCTTGGTTGCCGGCGTAGAGCTCTTGCTGTCCGAACGGGCGCGAGAGCGACAGCGCTGCCTCGACGTATCTGCCGAGCGCTCTGGCCACGTGTATCGCCTCGCCCGGACCTCTCTGCTTCATCGCTACCGTGAGAAGCGACTCCTGCTTCTTGCGACGGCCTGAGGGCACGGATGCGCTCGCTTCAGTTGCGTCGCTGTCGATGTACTCATCGTCGTCATCTGAATCTGAGCGCTCCGCTTCCTCCGCTGCTGCGGCTGGCGCCACACTCAGCACCGCAAAGCGAGAGGTGCCAGCTCCTGCAGCGAGCCGCACGCGTGGAGCTCCAGCGGCAGGCGCAGATGTGCCGGGCGCCGCCGCACGAGCCTCATTGTCGTTGTCGAGCGGCGCAGCTGCGGCAGGCGCTGATGAGGCGGACGCCGCCGCGCGATCCTCTTCGTCGTCGCTGATCGCGATGGCCTCGGCGAGCGAGGCACGTGGACGCTTGGCGGGCGGTGCGGCATCGGCGAGACGGGCGCGCTTTGCGTCGCGGCTGGCTTCGCGCTCGTCTGCGGCGCCTGCTTGAAGCTGCTGAGAGGCAGCTGCAGCAGGCGCGGCTGCTTGAGGTGCGCGCTGAGGGACGTGCTGCTGCGCCTGCTGCGCCTGCTGCGCGAAGTTGACAAAGCAGATGTCGTCGTCGTCGCAGAGCTCGTCGGCATCAAACTCGCCCGCGTACGGCTTGCCGCTGAACTGCTCGAGGCGTGCGAGACTGAGGGCGCTCGTGAGATTGATGAGGCCCACTGCGCGCAGCTGGTCCAGCGCCGTGAGATTTGCGGCGTAGCACTGCGACGCAACGGCGAAGTCGAGCTTCAGCTTGGAGCCTTGGACGAGGCCGTGCTGCGGCTGCGGCTTGACATCGACGGCGCGTGCAGCAGCGGTCTCGCTGCGTGCCTGAGTGACAGCCCACTGCGCAACGGAAGCTGTGTGCGCCCGGCGGTACTCTTCAGTGTCGCAGCAAGCCAGGATCTGGCGTGCACGAGCGTTGCTCGTCACTCTGGGCATGGTGCGAGAGAGGCAGAGCGGCGATGGTGGTGGGAAGCGCAGTGCTGCGACGACGTGCGCGCCCCCTCATCAACTTCATGCGGAGGGAGTAAGCACCTGCTAGGCGCATCTGAAGTCTTGATTCGGCTTGTTCAGCTTTTGAGACTATACACGGCAAGATGTTTCATCTCTCCGGGCGAGCCAGCAGCTTAAAGTGTCCGGCGAGCGTGACTGGAGAAGCATTCAGGGGCGATGCCGCGCTGAACCGCATCGCGTAGCGCGTGCAGCGCGGCGGCTCTAATCGCGCGCCGTCCATGCATGCGCCTCTTGCCTCTGCTCCACGACCTCCACTTCACCCTCGCCTCGCACCCTCGGCATGGCGCGCCTCAGCGCCGGCATCCTCACAGGTGTGTCGCAGCGCCACTCGCCGCCGGGCCTCGTCTCACGGCGCGCGCTGCAGTCTCCGACACGCTCGCGGCGCAGCCGGCGGCACAGCGCGCCGACGGCGCCGGCGATGCGGCCGAGGCGCACCTCGCCGCGCTGGGCATGCGCACGCGCCGCGCCCTCGTGCCCGACGATGCCGCTCGCATTGCGGCGCAGGTGCGCGCCTGGCGCGACGGCAGTGCAGACGAGACGCCGTGCGATCTCATCGTGACATCGGGCGGCACGGGCTTTGGCGTGCGCGACGGCACGCCCGAGGTGAGTCAGGGGGAGGGGCACCACGCGGCGGCATACAACCTGCTCACGCTCTCACAGGCGCTGGCGCCGCTCATCGACAAGCCCGCGCCGGGCCTGACGCATCTCCTCGTCGCCGCCTCGCTGCAGCACACGCCGCTCGCGGCGCTCTCGCGGCCCGTGTGCGGCGTGTCGCTGCGGCGGCCGGGCGCAGAGGGATATGGCGCGCTCCTCGTGGCGCTGCCCGGCAGCCGCAAGGCGGTGCGCGAGTGTCTCGAGGCGCTCGGCGCCGCCGGCGTGCTCGCCCACGCCCTCGATCTCGTCACCGGCGGCAGCGGGCGGGCGGTGCATGCGCGCCTGCAGGGCCCAGAGGGCGGCAGAGACGGCGCGGCGGCGGCGGCGGCGGCGCAAGGCGTCGGCGGCACCGAGACGGACACCGGCCATGCGCGCGTCGGCGGCACGGACCGCGGCACACACCATGCGCACCACCACAGCGACCATGCGCACCACCACGGCTCGCACTCGCACTCGCACTCGGCCCCGCACTCGGCACCGCAGCCACGCACGGCGTACGTCACCGTCGAGCCCGGCGCGCCGGCGGGGCGGCATCGGCAGTCGCCGTACGCGCTGCAGCCGCTCGACGTGGCGCTGGCGCTCATTGCCCAGCACACGCCCGGCGCCGGCGCGGCGCGGCGCGAGCCGCTTGCGCGCCTTGCCGGCTGCGTGCTGGCGGCGGACGTGTGCGCGCCGCTCGATCTGCCGCCGCGCGCCACGAGCAATGTCGACGGCTACGCCGTGCTGGCCGCCTCGACACCCGCCGGCGAGTACCGCGTGGTGCGTGGTGGTGGCGCGAGTGGGCCGCCGCAGGGCGCCGTCTGCCGCATCAACACGGGCCAGGCGCTGCCGCTCGGCACCGACGCCGTCGTCATGGTCGAGGACACGCAGCTGCTGCGTGCCACGGCCGCCGGCGAGGAGGAGGCCGTGCGCGTGCTGGCGCAGGTCGATGCACGCGAGAATGTCCGCGCGGCGGGGTCGGACGTGCGCGCGGGCGACGTGGTGCTGCGTGCCGGCCAGCGTGTGGGCACGCTCGGCGGCGAGATTGGCACGCTGGCGTTTCTGGGCTGCGCGGAGGTGAGTGCGGCCGGG